AAAATACGTAGGACATTGATGCTATCAATATCTGACGCGCTCGAGTATGTCCATGCAACAGTATTTTTTTACATATTTGAAAATCTATAGCCGTTTCCCCCACCGATGAAAAGGTATATATTATATAACATTTTTTTCTTTCTATCATCTAAGCTTTGCAACCTATTATGTCTCAATGACGCTCGAGTAAATCCCCATTTTGCATCGTTGGCTCCCCTGCTATTGGTAATACTCATTTACAATTCAGGACTTATTTATTCCAATTGGTTCATAAATGAAAAAGTTATGACAATACTATGATAATTCTGTTCGGTTGATTTGGCCAAAACTTTGGTTAACTTTGTTGGTAAAATGATTTTCTTATAAGTAGGCAAATACAAGAGAGCATTTTGCTGTTAGAAAATCTGAGAAATTCCAAAAATGAAAACCTCGCGAACGAAGTTTCGGGCAAAAGCTAGAGAAAAAGTATGTGAAAAAATCAATGTTATGAAGAAACTTGTTGAGATTCTTCACTCTCAATAATAATTTTGTGACTTGAAAGCAGGTGTTCTTTGAACTCCAGAATTGGTATGAAATATGGAGTGCAGAAAAAAGTAAGTGATTCAGAATTAAGAAAAAAAAATCTATGCACTTTGCCTGTTCTAATATGAATAAAGTCACTTATTCGATAATTAATACTATCTCGGTTTCCTGCATTGTTAACACGGTAATTTAAAATCCATTAGGTGAAATATAATGAGGGAGTCATTATTGTTTTTTTATAATTAAGACATAATGTGTATAATTGGTACTGATCGACTGAGATTTACATGGTACTCTTTTTGGTGAATCATGCTGCAACATGTTAATACACGAATGCAAAAATATTTAAAAGTAATTCCAAGTTCAATATGCTCCAATAGACAAATTTGAATGATTACTATAGAAAATTTATTAAAATATGATAAAATTTTAATAAAATTGTTTACATAATATGGCTTCCTCACCAACGCACGTTGACGAACAAACACTGGAAGCACTAGAATATTTTGTATTCGCCTATTCTGTAACATATTCAAAGAACACTTCATTATGAGATTTTTACCAAACATGTGAAAATCTCTGCCGATTCCATGGCATATTCTGTAACATAATTATAATACGATAGGTGGTTCCAATGTGAAACTTTTCTTTGCTTAGTAATTTCTTTTTAGGCAGGGATTTGTTTGAATCCAGTGAAATGCCAATTTACCACAACTTTGGAACTTGTCTCAATTGGGGTCGAGTTGTTTGAATACAAATAACCAATAAGTATCAAATAACCTCTAGAGTCCTGCAGAAATTCAGACATCATATTGGTAATTGCCAGAGTAGATCAGCGGTAACGCGTGTCAGTTCTGACTGACTGATTGAATGAGTTTATTATGCAGAGCCATAATATCAAAAAAATATATTGTACCATTCTTTTCTAAGGTCAGTCGTAGAAAAAGTATAGTATGCACCTTGAGAATAAGGTCAATTACGTCCACGTCCACGGGAACAATTTTTCGCTCGTGGGTAAATAGCTTCTTATCCTACTTGGTACGTAATATATTATTATTGTGTGCAGGAATATGGATCATATTTTTCTCTGAAGATTGAAGTTAAGCACATCTCTGGTGTTTTGAAGTCACTCGCGATTAACTTTGAAAAAACCAAGTTCTTTGCCGTTCGCAAGCTACGAAAGTCATTTGTCAATTTATGATAATTTAATACTGAATGATCACAAAAAAAACATGGGAAATTCACGAGAAGATCAAATTAAATACCTGTGAGTTACAGTCGATCATCGAAATCGCTAAGATGCAAAAGTTTAAATACTTGAGATCTATCCTCGATATCAATCAACTTAAAATAATATACTACGCCTTAGTAGAATTTCGACTCCAGTATACTATACTGAGCTGGGGTGGTATTTTAGATATTCACCCTAAGAAAGCAATAAATGATTATTCTTCTGATCAAAAATTCATTGATTCGAAGCTACACGAAATCAGACAAATATACATGTACAACCTAATCTTGTATATCCACAAAAACAAAGTGACACTTCGACCAATTAGACACGATTATAATACCCTCACTAAATCAAAGGGTGATTTACAAGTGAACGCAATAAAAAAATCCATTGGTCAACACTCGTACAAATACCACAATGGGAAAATCTTCAATTTCTTACCGGACATGTACAAGATCTACATTTAGGTATACAATAAATAATATTAACCTACTCAAAAACATCTTCAAAAAATATGTACTCAATATTAATAGCGACATCTTTCATAACATTCTTATAAAAAAAATAAAGACGACAATAATTATCCAAAGTTAAAAATCTGTTATACTTTCCTTTCATACCGTTGCACATTTGCACTTCGCACTTAAATATACCTATCAAAGTACCATAATTTAATATTATATGTATGTTCATAATTATCTATTACATAATTCTAAGTATTATATATATACAGTACGCTATATTACAAATAATTGAATTGTTTCTCAATTCAGCTCATTAATTATGCATTTCGTAATAGGAGTCCTAGAAACAAAATACTTTTTTAGCTATGCGGTCTATTCTATCATTTATGGAGAAACGGTAATTACTCTGCAGTTACTCCGAAATCAAATACTTACAAGTAATTTTAGGTCTGATAACTGCTACAGAATCCTCGGTTAGAATTTCGGATCTCATTTTAAAACTGTTTGAATTTGAGAGTATTGCAATCAAATTTCTCAAATCACTCGACAGTACTGGTGTATCAGTGGATTATACTGTAGTAATTTGGGGGTTCTGATCATGAATATGAAAGAATTTTCAGCCTATTTTGCCCCTTAGTATGATTTATCATAACAATGTATTTTTCCATCGCGACTGGCGGGCAGTGTATATCATTTAGGCTAAGACCATTTAGCTGGTTAGTTTATTTTTAGCATTTTCATCAATCCTACCTTGTAATTTCATAAACTACACCTGACGATTTGATCTCCACAAACTTTATTTGAAAAATATATCACGAACTGTTTCGTTAACACAGTAGCTTATTCCACAGTGATGTGGTCAGTGTTGAAGAAGCTGGCGGGCTGGTGAGCCATGGTCTCGTGGAACTTGTATCAAGCGTTTCTGCTACTGTGGTAGACATCATCAGTGATATATGCGTTGAATACGAGGAAGGAGCAATGACAGACTCATTCAGCAATGACTGACTGAATAATTGAACAATCATCACAGGCTCAATAAAAACACGCATACCTGACAACTGACAACTCAAATGCTCATTCAAGAACCTGATTTTAGGTAATATTGAATCTGTAATGGAGAATGAGAAGTGCCAAATTCATTTCAACTGTTCAACTACAAATACAAGTAGCACAAGCTTATTATATTGACGTACTCTTTCCCAGTCATCAATATAATAGGAAATCAAGTTATAACGTTATAAAATAAATATCGTTCAAAACGAGATGCAAAAATGGATGACATATCGATATTTGCTCTCCGAACGCTGCAAACTCTACGAAAATTACTATGCTGAAAGTATTAAAATAGATTGAGAGTTTCCCCACTGAAATTATCTCTTCTCTATAGAAAGCTCTCAAAACCTACAATGGTCAAATCTGATGGTGCCTGTGATAGTTTGTTTCCCTCAGAACTAAACTTAAGATGTAGATTCTTATATACATTGAAACATACTCTCTGTGTTTCAATATTCAAATGCATCCGAATCTTATTCACTGGTATCTCTTTTTCGCATTGTTCACCATCGCTATTGGAATCACTACTCTGGAAAACTTCTGCGTTGTTATCAAACTCATTATAACTATTAGTGCTTGTCCAAGCACGCCACATTTTAAACAGAAAACAAAATTTTTAATTAATTATAACTGCACCAATATCGAATTTCGACACTTAAATCGCGATCAGTTCCTGAACTGAACACGATGGCGATAACCATTCCCACATTCTCCGATTTCTACACGTCACCGTAACATGACTTCAAATTCAATTTTATGACTCTTCAGTCAATCAAAAAAACTCGGTTAGTAAAAATAATCCAAAACCGCCAAGTCTACTGTTCACGTGGATTAGTTCGCTGCCAGATCATTTCTATGTATTGGTTTTTTTTGACCTTTGAGAGTGCCGCCAACTTTAAAGAGTGCACAATATCGTTTACTCGGATAACTCAGGTAGAAAATTTTAATGGAATTCAAAAGTATTTCAACAAGTCTGCCATTTCTAAATGTTATTATTTAGCACTATTATTACACAGAAAATATATTGGCAGACAAACGTGATAACTATGGCAGAAACTTTGTAAGGTGCCAAATGGCCTTCTTCCAGTGTGATTTCCAATTCTAAAACTTGATTCATCACGTCTTTGTGGATCCACTTCTGGCACCATTCTTCTACACGTTGAATTCACTCAAAAGACCAAAAGACCAATCACACATCTTCGGGCATTACCGCTTGTTCTGGGTATGGAATCGAAAGTTGGTAATAAATTCGAACTCGGTAAGATCTGTTGAAAAAAAATCTCCAATCCAAAGCAACAAGTGGTCAATAACAACAAAACGTAGTTTGTAGGAAACGCGTTCATTCTTTGTATTTAATTGTTAGTTTAAAAAGCTGGAGACCTGAATTTTCATTTCCTGAAGGAAAAGAACTCATTCTGCTAAATGATATATTTTATTATGAGGCCTACTTTCTTATCGAAACATTCCTTTATATTGCAGAACCTGAATGCACCAAAAATTACGATTCCTCTTTCAAATAGTGTAATATTGTGATTAAATAATGACGCATTTCAGGATTACCCCCAAACATCTCCGTAATCCAAAAATTATTGTATCTGTTGCCTTTGGACTGCATTGGTCTTTAGTCTGTGGAAATGAGTTTTCAGGTATTTTTAGTTTTTTTTTCACGTGAACTGATAATAGAAAGAGGTGTTTCAAAAAGAATGAACGGGAATATATAATCAGTTCAATATTTACTACAAAGTACTTTTCAGAATACAATTTCACAGCTTACCCTAAAGTATGAAAATATAAAATAGTAGATGTAATGTTCACCAATCTGCATATGTCACATCAGACAGCTTTGACCAATCCAATCGTTTTATTCTGTATGTTATAAATGCTGTAATATTGGGACAAAAACGCTCCACCTAAAATCCACAATTCCTTGTCTGAAGAATACTGCGTAGCAGTGAAGGCCGAAACGCATAGTTTGATGTGAAATATCGATATCTGCAAATTAAAATGATAACCAGTAACTAGACTATTGAGACTGCAATTAGAAGCATTTACGGAATTCCATTTTATCTATAATTATCTATTAGTCAGGCATGCGGTTGCGAAAAAAAGACATTACATGAAAAAATTTGTTTATTTACATAACTGCAATGTTGAACAATTATTCAGTTTTAATGTACCTAAGCCTGCAGGCGAGAAGATGGGAAAATTCAATGACATAACCTGTTTGGTGAAGGCAAAAGAAAACAAATATAATTATTACAGTGATTTTTTTAATGAAAATGATAAAATCCCGATTTTTTCAATTTATTTTTTCTTTCATTTATGTCTGCATACGGCAAATTGACCTTTTGATAAAAATGGTCTACTAGAATTCAACGGTATGCTTTTAATTGGAAAAAGAACTGTTGAAACAAATTATTGAATGCAATTCTACATAAGTACGATAAGTGGTATGATGAAATAAGCACATGTAACAAATAATGCTTTGAAGCGAATGGAGGTTCCCTACAATGAAGTTTTAAATACTAATAATTCATTGGACAAAATTAATTCATCCGTTACCTATTAGAAAGAAATGAATGAAATATAAGATACCTAATCTATTACTAGAAGAAAAATGTATATCTCTGGTGATAAAAATACACTCTATGTCATAATATCAATAACACTTCTAGTGTCGTTTTGAGAGTGATAAATATACAGGGTGTTTCAAATTCGATCCTCAGCATTGGGATCTCGGAAACTATGAGAGATACGAAGATGGTTAAATTGGGGTAAAGTTGCGCATTCACCTGACTAACAATATGCCGTTGAGAAATTCTGAAATTCCGAGTATATCCGGAAGTACTTATCTATTTTTTTTTTGATTTTCATGGAATTATTTTCCAGCAGCTTGACTGCATTAACCTTTGTCGAACAAAATAGAACTATTATGGTGCAAGTGTGATCAGAGACATCTGCTGTTCTATAAGTAACTCAATGAGAAAACCCAAAAATCAAATACCTATGTCAATTAATTGACAACACCCTCATTAGTCTTGAGGAAAACAAGTGAAGAGGTGTTGTTAAATGAAAGTTAAATCTTGCCATAGGGAGGTAGGAACTTTGTTAAAAAGGAAATATTTAAAATGTTATGAATTATATTGATGAAAAACCAGAATTATTATTAGTTTGGAAATCATGTAGATTTTTGTCAATATCTAATAAAAAGGCATTTATTTCACTGAGGTGATCAATGTCTGATCTTTTATTAAGGCAATTATTCCATTTCCAAAAACAATGTTTCAGATGTATTTCTTTCAGTTGATGAAATTTTTGTTGAATTGTAGACCATTGTATGACCTTTGGAAACATGATTACTGAGAGCACATCTCTTAGGATGTAATCTACTATGACTTTTATGTGAGCTGACTCTGTCTTTGAGTAATCTTGACGTTTGACCAATATATTCCCTACCACAATTTAAACATGGAATGTGTTAGGAATCACACGTTAAAGGGTGAGACCTCGTTAATCTTTAGCTCGCACAGGTTTCGACTTGTGAGGGTTCTCGTTCGTAGGGGTGCGACAGCTGGTTAATGGAAAAACAGATTTTAAACAGATTTTTTCAACAGAATTGAGATTGAAAGTTAATAGGAGTTTTATCTTTGAATTTCGAAAATAATTTATTAATGGTGAATATGATTCTAAAAGCTATTTTTACATTTAAATCTTGATAATTCTGCATAACTTGGGTGTCATATCACTTATGTATGGTAAAGAAGAGAAAAGTATAGGAACTGGAGGTGGATCAGCCCTAATTGTGACATAGTCAGACTGTAAAGTAATCATATCCAACTGGTTGTTATTGTTGATTTGAACGTCAATGGTTGACGTACTAAATAAGATCTTCTCAAGTAGAGGATCCGGGTAGGAGTTATTAATAAATAATTGGCAACGTATATTTAATTTTTTTTATGCAAAGAAGGATCGGAAATCTGCAAAATGCGGTTCTTCATTTGTTTGACCAAATTCATTTTCCTTGACTGCTTATGGTATGACCAATAATTCAAGAACCTACCAGAACTGATAGGCTTGAGATACCAATCTATGAGTAGAGTATTATCTGGTGTTCTGATAACCTTAGTGTCAAGAAAAGGAACCCATTGTTCGTTGTTCTCAGTTTCGATGGTGAACTGTATGTAAGGGCCATGACTATTGAAGATGTCCACAATCTTAGATATTCCATCTTGAGGAAGGGATATGATAATGTCATCGACATATTTTTTTATAAAAAAGAGATTGAAGGGAAATACCTGTAAGACCAAATCTAGCAGGTCATCCATGACATATGCTGCTGTGTAAGAAAATGTCATTTCTCGGATTTGGTGAAGGGACTGTAGATCTTTCGAAAAGTTACCTCGGAAATCGGACTCAGTCAGTATGTATGGATGAAGTGTTCTAGTACTTCACCTGTTGACTATGGAGTACTTTGGCCCCATTCTGTTTTCTCTATAATTGATTATTGCACAGTTTATCATTATTATCGATTTCCTCCAAGTAACTGGCAGGTGGCAATGGAAAAATAGTACCTCAGTAAGCATGGGACAAATCTTGAATTTTATTTTTGAATCAGTTAACCTTTACCGATTGTGTTTAAATTTCGAAGATACGTTTGATTTTCGTGGCAATGTAAGATTAACGAAATGGCAGACATCACAAAATGGCGACTCGATAATTTCCATAAAAATCTCCTTGATATGGGTATCATATAAAAGGTATGAATAGGACGAGCAAAATGAAGTCTTCAAATCCAGTATGGCCTAACTAGCTCAAAATACAGAAAAAAGACCTTGTAATAATGGTGCATTAACAGAAATTACCTTATGTAAAATATTATATATACTACTTACTTGAATATTGTCAAAATTCATTATAATTCAATATTGTACGTATATAATAGCAATGAATTCTTGTTTTTAAAAATATTTCCTAACAGTTGAAACCATTCGACGAAAATGTGACATTTTTGTTTACTTATATTTTCAGCATACATAAAACATGTGACTTTTTTTGGAGTGAGAATGATTTACCTTTTTTATATATTGCGATCCCTCCAAACTGAACCTTTGTCCTCCCAAAATGAAATCAATTCTTGGTAATTTATCAATTGTGTCGCAATTCACCTGCAATAAAATATAAACATCAGCATTCTAATATGTGCATTGAATGGTGACCAATACTCTGAAGTCCACTGTATCACTAGTTTTATTTTCAAAAGGGTAAAAAATTGAAATTCAAGTACCTAGACGTCATTTCATTGAATTCAATTGTCACTAAGTACATCGAATTCTCCTTATGTCTAATTGATTTTACAGCAAAATATGTCCCCCTTCATTGAAGGCACAAAACCACGAAAGTTATTAAATTTCTGATACTCTGACCTATTTAATACGATTTCAACAATTTTCCTTAGCTAAAATTTGAAGTAGTAACACTTTTGTTCTGTTTGAATATCTTTCAGAATTCAAATGTGAAATTCTCTTGAATAGAGAGAATAGAGTCGACTTTTGTATTGAAATATTTAGATTTATTAGTGGGAATGGAAATTTCTAAATTATTCTAATTGAGTTGAAATAGTGCTGAACATTGCTAGAAGCTTAATGCATGTTGTGAAATGCGTAAAATCCCTATAAAAATCGAAAGTATAGTTCAAGTAAAAGATATAGTGCAACCTACCTTCCAACAGTTCCCCTTTAATAACATAGTTAGGGAGCTAACTAATTTTGTTATTCAATAATCATTCATATATAGTGGAATGGAAATCAATTTCTTCAAAAATTAATTCCTTCATGTAAATTAAGCTAATATTTTGATGATGCCAACTCACCGTCCATTTCCCAAAAAATGCCTTTGCGTTAATTAATGCAAGAATTTTGTTCACCTCATCCACAGGTCCAAAAATTTCGTTTGAACTAGTGTCCGATATCGCTTTGCATCCCTTATTACACAAGGTAATGTTTATCGTAGGCGTCGTTGCATTAGGAGTGACAACAATTCTAAAAAATGTTTTGTGATTGAAGTTTGATGTATACGAAAGGTTTTTGCACAGTTTACCTGTCCACTGAGAATTTCCAAAGTATGCCCTCGTCGACACTTAAATATTTTATTTCATCAGGCAATATACTTTTGTTTGGGTATTGACTTCTATGAATGAGCTTTTCGTCAACGAATCCAAGCATAAGACTTCCTGCATTTTCCCCCTGGGCACTGCTATAAATAGATGAGAGTTGTCTTTAAAAAAATGAAACAATATTCGTATTACTGACTGAATTGAGTATTTCAGTCAAAATCAACTTTTCAATAGACAATCATTTGCAGAGCTGACAATAAATATAATTCCTAAACTAGTATGAAAGAAATATCAAAAATCCAACTAGGAAGAAGGTCAAAAATATCGTTTAATATTCTTCATTAACGTAAAAATAGGTGGCATTAAAGGTGTAGATGATGCAATTGTCTATACAAATTGTTGCTCCACTTTTTTCTTACGAATCACTAATTCTACAGTAACACCATTTCAGAAGTTGAAGTAGTCGTATCGATCAAAGTTAGACTACGGATCAAAAGTATATAATTCGGCGAAGAAATCGGTTCTGAAACAACTGAATACCGTTCACAATAATGCTATCGGAATTGCCCTTGGGTCATTCTGCACAAGTTCAACCGAAAGCTTACAATGTGAATCAGGTGAACCATCTTCAGCAAATCGAAGGCAGTTTCTAACCCTCACCTATGCTGCTTCCATTACAGCAAACACTGAAAATCCAGTATACCATGATGTGATTGCCCATTGATTTTCGTCAACATATGCTGAGAAGAAAAGAACTGACATTCTTTTTTACGAGAGACAAAATCAGTATCTACATAATTCGAACCTCCATCAAGTAAAAACCTTCTCCGAAATGAATATCTCTAACCCCACTCCATGGACTACCCCAAAAATTCTCATTGATACAAACCTTAATCAGTTCAAACAGAGAGACATTAACTGCGAAGTCATCAAATGTAATTGATATGAAATGATTCATTCATACGAAATACAAGGAGTTTGACACAATCTACATGGACGTATCCAAATCTCAAGACGGCGTAGGAACCGCTTTTACAGTCTGCAATCTAGTTCATTATTCAAGCTCCTCGTGAAAAGCTCAGTGTTCACTGGGGAACATTAAACCATATGGAAAGCACTGCAGAACATAGAGAAAAGCAACTCCAAGACATGTTTGATTACGTCAGATTCTTCAAGTGCTCTAGAAGCAATGAACCAATTATACTCCAACCATCCCATCATTCGTCATATAAAAAAACTGATCAATGTACTCTAGGGAAAAAGGGTTGTTATAAAATTTATATGGGTTCTTCACACATAGGTATAGTAGAAAACGAAATGGCTGACCGATTAGCTAAAGAAGCCACTATCAGTCAGAAAACAGTACAGAAAACTATGTTGTTCATACCAATATGAACCCCAATTACAAGAAAATCCTCACTGAATCATGGCAAGATCAATAGAATGGGTCTTGCAGTAAACTTTCCAAAGTAAAAACAAGTGTATAGTCGAAGTAACCGATATAGTAATTCTTAAAGTTTCAGCGAACTCAAAGGCCAAAAAAACCAATACAAAGGAATAATGCCGCTACGAATTAGTCCACATGGACTGAAGAATTGACGGTTCGTATTGGATAATTTTTACTAACCGAGTTTTATGATTGGCTGAAGAGTCATAAAATTAAATTTGAAGTCATGTTACTGTGACCAATAAAATGTGAGGATGGTTACAAGAGTCGTGTTGTCAATGTTCAGTTCAAGAACTGATCGCGATTTGAGTGTTGAAATTCGATATTGGTGAGGTTATAATCACTTGAAATGTTTGTTATTTGTTTAAAATGTAGCGTCCTTGGACAAGTACTAATAGTAATAACGAGTGTGATAACAACAACGACTTTTTCCTGTGTAGTGATTCCAATAGCGCTGGTGAACAATGCGAAAAAGGGATACCAATGAATAAGATTTGGATGCATTTGAATATTGAAACACAGAGAGTATGTTTCAATGTATATAAGAATCTACATATCAAGTTTGGTTTCGAGGTAAAAAACTATGGCAAGCAACATCAGATTTGACCAAAATTCCTTTCTCAAATGTAAAATGGTCAAAAAGAAACGTTATGAACACAAGACGCGATTTGATGCGAGATTACCAAAACCTTTAGATGTTCATCTACTAAAATCATTAAAAAAACAAAATACGACTGTTCTAAAAGCAATGAGATTCCTACAACTGAAATCAAAAGGAAGAAATTGAGCACTTCCGGCCATTACGTGAGCTGCTGTGACAAAACTCTTCAGAATTGGATACAGAAACTAGGATTTAGATTTAAAATAATGAACAAACGTCAAGCAGAAGAATAGTGGAATTGCGTAACAAATACTTAGAACAATTAACTAAATACATATAGACAAAAACAACGGCAGATTTCTATTTGGACGAAACTTGGTATGACACTCACGACACAGTTACGAAAGGGTGGACTGATGGTTCGAGAATGTATACGCCTAATATGCCTAAATGATATATATATATATATATATAAAGTATCAGGATTGAAATGTTTATTTTTTCTCTGATAATCTTAAATTCAACCGCGTTATTAAATCTGAAACTGACTGTAATTTTCTACAAGAAGACCTAAAATCAATAGCTCACTGGTGTCAGGCGAATGGCATGGACCCTAATATAGACAAATGCGTTGCCATATTCTTTTCTCGTTCTCATTCTCCCATTATCTTTTTTTTTTAATTTACTTTATTTAAAGTCGCATCAACCTCCAGGGTTATTAGCGACTGAGCAATGCATCAGTTTCAGTGGTATTATATACAGTTTAAGAAGTTGATATTTTCTTTAAACTTTACAATATTTTCAAAATTACACTTAGGTCCTAATGCTTTCTTGATTGAAGGCGGGATGCCATGAGTTAGTCTTTCGTTGGAATATAGCACTCACTTGCATATGCACTTTGTTAAGATTTGGTCTACAGTTACGGAAGAGTCGCACACTTCACACATAGGACTGGTGTCGCCGGTAATGAGGTATCCATGAGTGAGGCAAGTGTGGCCTATTCGCGAACGATACATTACGACATGGGTTCTCCTACTTGTCGGGAGATGTATCTATGGAAGTACACTATAGTACGGTTTCATATCTGTATGGACAACATATTTTTCTGTACTATTTAAAGGCATCAGGCCTTTTGGCTTCTTTTGCTAATCTGTCAACCTTTTCATTTCCTTTTATACCTACGTGAGAAGGGACCCATATGAATTTTATGACTACCCCTTTTCCGTAGAGTATATTGATCAGTTCTTTTATATGACGGATGGTGGGATGGTTGGAGTGTAATTGGTTGATTGCTTCCAGGGCACTTAAAGAATCTGACACAATTAAACATTTCATGGAGTTGTTCTTCTCTATGTACCGTAGTACTTTCCACTGAGCTTTCTAGGGGGAGTTTGAATGATGAACTAGATTGAAGACTGGTAAAAGCGGCTCATACGCTGTCTTCAGATTTGGATGCGTCCGTGTAGATTGTGTCAAACTCCTTGTATTCTGTATGAATCATTTCATATAAATTACATTTGATGACTTCGTAGTTGATGTCTCTCTTTTTAAATTGGTTGAGGTTTGTATCAATGAATATATTTGGGGTAGTCCATGGAGTGGGGTTAGAGATATGCGGATCGGAGAAGGTTTTTGGTTGTTGGAGGTTCAAATTATGTAGATACTGATTTTTTCTCTCGTAAAAAGGAAGGTCAGCTCTTTTCTTCTTAGCATATGTTGACGAAAATCTATGGGCAATCACATTACGGTATACTGGGTTTTCAGGGTTTGCTGAAATGGAAGCAGCATAGGTGGGGATTAAAAACTGCCTTTGAGTTGCTAAAAATGGTTCGCTTGATTCACAATCATCATATAAATGGTTTGTCCTCAATTTTCGGCTATGAAAGATCTTGGCTTTCTTTTGGAAACAAAACTGTCTTTAAAAAACCATATATCCAGAGTGGTACAATCTTGTTACAGACTCTTTGGATACATTGTTACAATTGGCAAAGATTTTTCGCCTACTACTCTGAAGATTCTATCCTACAGTTTGATTCGTTGTATCTTGATTATGCTTTTGTCATCTGGTATCCATCGTATTGCATATATAAACAATTTCTTCAATCTGTTCAGACAAATTCTAACGTACCATTGCCTTCAAATTGGGCCATGAAATAGAAAAGTATCTTTTTCAATACATCAGAACCAATCTTTGATTAGAAAATCGACTCGTTCGAAATGACTTACCATTTTTGGTGATATCGACTGTCCAGAACTTTTGAGTAGGTAATATTTGTTTCGAGAGGCACCAGGGATGATATAAGTGCTTGTAATTGAAATTTTCACCGTACATATTGTTGTAAATCATGTCTGAAAGAAAATAACGCCGGCCACCATTGGTAGCCATAAACCAATCGTGACGTAGCTAAGAGAACGCGAATGCACGATGTCCCCTGCCGCTCTAGAAGCAGCGAGAATAATGCTACCGATTTCGACGGAATTTAGGCGAAATTTTCTAGCGCTTTCGATTATCATACAGGGTGTTAATTGAGTATGTACCATGAATTCAATAGACGATTCTTTAGGTGATTTTAAGACATGGGTCCACAAATAAACATGGGTCCGCAAATCCTTCGTTCTCTAGATACAGGGTGTTAAAATAAAAAAAAGTTATTCGTAAATATCTTAAATATCCTTTACCTAATTTTGTTGTGATTTGACAATGGTATTTATAACATTGAGGAGCTAATTTAGCCCGAACGTGATTCAATTTATTGAGTCCAGTGGCGTCTCGAGCGAGATTTGAACGAATATTTTTGATTTGAAAATGTACGCCACATTACTTATTATGTAACAATAACAACAAATATTAAATAACATTAACATCTAGACTAACGAATTGCACTAAATTAAGTGTTGGAAATGGCCTCCTTCGGCTTCAATACAACCGTCTAGCCGCCGCATCATTGAATTTCGCACTCTTCTGAAAATACCATGAATAATAATCAAGGGTTGCCTTGGAAAACGATTGCAGCATTTAATGAACAACTTGATAGTTGTTGTCAACTTTATAAGCTTTTGATTTATAATTGTTATAAAAAGTATGTTTAGTGGTTATTTTTTGAACCATTTTTGTAAAACATGGTTCAGTTTACTAACAGTGAAATGGCAGATAATATGCATTTCTGTTATGGAATGGCTCACGGAAACTCGAATGCTGCAAGACGCATTTACCATGAAAGATTTCCTCAGCATGTAGTGCCTAATAGACGAACTTTTCCTAAGTTGAATGTTGTTTACAGATGAAGCTTGTTTTTCTCGCAATTCAATTATTAACTTCCACAACAATCACATTTGGGCCGAAAACAATCCACACGCCTTGATAGAAAATAATTTTCAAGAACAGTTTTCTTTTAATATTTGGGTTGGAATTGTATGTGACCATCTCATTGGGCCTCACTTCCTTCCACGTAGGCTTAATGGAGAAGAATACCGAAGGTTTTTAGAATTTGTTTTACCTGGACTTTTAGAAGAAATTCCAGTCATGGAAAGATTCTGTATGTGGTACATGCACGATGGTGCTCCACCACACTTTAGTGTAGTGGCACGGCAATTTTTGGATGAAAATTACCATAATCACTGGATTGGAAAAGCAGACCCACACTCAGGGCCACCTCGCTCGCCCGAAATGAATCCCTTAGATTATTTTCTCTGGGGACACCTTAAAGCGTTGGTATACAAAACAGCTATTCAAAGTGAAGAGAATTTACGGAATAAAATCATTAATTCATGTGACATAATAAAAAATACGCCAGGTATTTTCAGAAGAGTGCGAATTCTATGATGCGGTGGCTATAGTCTATTTCAAAAGAGTGTAGAGTAATAAAATCTCATTAAGTATTCAAAAGCGCTACAGGGTGATCCGTCAATGAATTCTGTCACTTCCCTAGTCCGCATTGCAAAATTATGTCGTTTCATAAAGAGCAGGTAGGTATCACCCTGTTTTAAGGGATTTGTCCATTGTTATCGACGGATAAATACTGAGCCAGAGGCGCGCTAGTGGGATAATTGCCAAAAGAATATGCATTCATAAAAATTATATTAAAGGAAATAAAAATTTAATACAGCAGAACAGTGTTATTAAAAAAATATAAAATGTAACAATAAAATATATACGAACCGAAATCGGGAAATACTCACAAACACACACGAACGAACTTTACGTATTGAAACACTTGTGGGGACTTTAAATCAATTTATTCACAAAAACGACAAGAACTTTACTGGATACGTTATTACAATTT